CTTGCGACTGCCGACAGCCGCCATTAGCTTTGTTTACCGCGCCTCGTTTCACAATCAGCTGGTGACCTGGATACGCGAAAAGAGGCTTCGTTTCCGCTCTCTATAATTAAATACTCTCTGCTTTCATGTAAGCATATTATGTTTTGCATCTAGGTTTTTGACAAAGATAATTTTGAGGCGGCGTAAACGGGCTTATCAGAGGAGAGGATGTGGGTGTTACTGCTCTAGTGCGAATGAGAAGGTTGCCAAGGTTAGGGGAAACAGGCTTTCATTTTGTCTGATTTTTTTTTTATGTTGGCGTGGATTTTATGTACCTTGGGTAGTGACGAAAAATGTTGTTTTTTCTGTTTGGGCTTAAGGGGTTTGTACGTCAGAAGGTTTGACTCCCACTCCTTTCTCCCCCCCCCCCTCTCTCTCTCTCTTTCTTTCTCTCTCTCTCTCTCTCTCTCTCTCTCTCTCTCTCTCTCTCTCCCTCTTTCTCTCTCCCTGTCACAGTACTCTCTGTCTTTTCCCCTTTGCCCCTAATCTGGCTGTGGGAGGGTGTTATAGAGATATAGACACCTGCTTGCCAGAAGGAGGTGCAACCCTTATACATGAAATAATAAAATGTCACTCTTGAACTACTACTCTTGGCTGCACTTGTTTAACATTTACTGTGGCTTATCACCCTAATCTTGTGGTTGGAGGGCACCATGTGTAGGTCCTACTTCTTTTTTCTTACTGTTCTTTTGGACTAAATGATCATTATTGTGTCAATGTGTTTCTCTTTCTAAAAGATTTCCATCTTCTTTCCTCATTATTGTGTCTTGTTTATTGTAACGACAAAGCCAAGTGGGCTGACATCTTAATGACCGATTTGTTTCTTGGTTGGCATTAATTTTTTTCTCGAAACTAGAACTTGATTAGCAGCATTTCTCAACTTGAGGTTTTAGTTTGAGGGATGCACACTTAAATTCGTAAAAGATGATGACTGGTGTTTGCGCTTGTTGCAGACTTTTTTACTGTTAAAGTTTAAGTGAAGCAACTCTTCAATGGCTGGGTTTTGTTTTGTTTGGTTTATTCCTTTCAACACAGATAAATAAACCATGAGAAGGACCCTGGAGACATGCTTCGTGTTTTGCTCTTGAATTTAAATGGGTCAAGTGCTGCTATAGAATAGTTTTGGACAATTTCACGAGTACCGTCATGGACTCTTAGAGTCCAGTAGATACTTGTTTGTCTCCTCATCAACCTTATCAATACACTTAACTCAAGATAGTGTGATGTCTATCCAGAAACACCTTCAGTCGTGTACAATGACAAAGTGCATTCATATTCTGCTTATTTTGTTTAGAATCTATTTTTTTAGTGATTAGTGAGGTGAACCTTCAAGGAATTATCGTTATAGTGGGGCACCCTTTTCTGACTAGTGACATTTCAGGTCTTAAATATTATTGGTCCGTTTTGATATTTTCAGTTTTTATTGCTGTCAGAGAGAAAATTTTAATATGGTCAGAAAGAAGCCACACAGCGTATGCATTTATACACTTATTATTTTTATCACTCTTGCAGTCCTTTCCCCTCACTACATTCATTTTCCAGTGGAATGTAGTTCAATTTCTCTGGAAAGGTGACTTGGCCACTCTAAAAAACATGATTTAGCATTCTGAATATCACTTATGACTGACAATTTGTAAGGATTAGGTGAAAAAAAAGGGGTTGGGGAAGTTTGGATCATCATTTTGTTTTCTCTATGATCATCTAGCTATTTTTGTTGTTGTCATCATAGGCAACAATAATTTCATCATCATCATGATCATCATCAATATAACATTGTTGAAAGAGATTTAACCCAATACCATTACTAATTATCCTCATTGTCTTCTTCGTCATCATTATTATCATCATCACCATTTTCTTCAATTAGCTCAACTGTTGTCAGATTCTGTAACACTGAACAACACCTGTGAGAAAGTTTGTACTTGATATAAAAAAAACAAAATTCCCTTAAAGATGGGCGTGGGGTCAACTGGTAATAGGTATAGCTCGCTTTTTCCACAGTTTAGAATTTAAATTTAGACGAAATATTTCTCGAGCATATATGCAACCGATATCACAGATTCAGTTACTGCAATAAACTATTTAAAAAAGAATTTATTTTGTGATAAATATATCTGAACAGCTGGCCGACAATACCTTCTTTCTTTGATGCGCTCCCCTGCTAGATCTCAGGGGTGGTCGACTGCTAGTTCTTTAACCTGCAGTGCAACTGATTTTACATATGGGACCATTTTTCCTACTTCATGGGGACCCCTGCCTTCAGGGAGTCACATTCTGATTTTGAAGATATTCTAACTCTATATGATTTTGTACTAATTAGTGTATTTTCAGTATTGGTAGCAATGAATTTGGAATTTCGCCCGTATGGCGGCTGATGCCTACTCTTATTGATTTTAGGACCACTACGGGATCTTAGACATGGGCAACTTGCACTCAGTACCTCCAAGATTTTTCGTCCCTACCCTAGTAGACAATAATGCATTTGTTCTTACAGACCGATGG